GACTGATGTTGTAGAAATGCCTTTATGCAGTATTAATGAAGGCGAAGTAAAGAGAATGACGAAGAAATTGAGGAAAAACAAACATCCAAATCTGAAAAACATGACGAGGATGATGAAAATGCGAAAAAGTTAGAAGAAGGAAAAACTGCAACTTTTAAAGATGTTGAACAATCACTCGAAAAATTTAGTTGTGATGGTTATCGTAGCATTAAGCATTGGATTGAAGATTTTTGGAAAATTGAAGAATAAATAATTTGTTAAAAAGAAATAGCGTCCGTGATATCGTTCTTATCATAACCGCTAAATTATACAATGCAGACGGCGTAAAAAAGTGATTTAATTGTATAACATTTTCATGCAATTAACTTTCTTCTCAAAGAAATAGAATCGGAGCAGCGAGATATGAAGACAGAATCCTGAAAATTTATGCCATTGAAGAAAGAAGATGTATGTGACACATCGTCATGACTGATAAACTTTATGAAAATTTTTCCGTGATAATTATTTGTTTAGCAAATCATTTACAAGCCAATAAAACATGCAACGACACTATTGTAAAGCTATTTTACAAACTGCAGTCAATTTATCTTTGGCAATTGATAATTTAGAACTGTTTTGCACACGAAGAACACCTGCACCCATATCGTTAAATTTAAGAACAGTAGGTAGGTTATAAACATTTTTAATAATATAGTTTGATTAATTATTTTTATTATTTTCAGGCATCTTCAAGATCCAGGCCATCCACTGGTCGTCGCCATGGGAATTTCGAAAAGGAGTTTATAAGAAAACGCGAAAGAGAGTACAATCACCAACAACAATGGAACGGTCAAGTAAAATATTATGAGAAATGCAAGAACGACAGTGACCATTATGAATGTTGGACATCTCCGCGTTACTATGAAACCCATTCGAAAGTCCTTGACGAATATACCAAAAAGAAAAAGAAAGAGGACGATTTGATAAAACGTAGAGAGAAGTTACAAAAGCTCCTCGAGGAGGACGAACGTTCCTACGCAATAGAAATGATGGTACGAACCAGAGACAAATATCTATCTCCTCGAGAAACGAAAAAGTGTGAGAGTCCTGCCACCTCGATCCTGAGGGAAGTGAATCTAGGGATTCAACAGTTAGAAGAAGATCGAAGACGGCACGAAGCAGAAATAAAGTTGTACCATCAGTGGCGTGCAAATAATCCTATTGTGAGACATCACGAACGTCTTCGGACCAACGATGACGTTAAATTGTCTTGGTTAGATCAACAGATTGAGAAGCGAATGGAGGTAGAAAAAGCCGAAGAAGAGTGCCGAAAAATTCTAGCTGAACGCGATAGACTAATTGAAGAAGAGAAAGAAAGAGAACAAAAGATCAAAAAGGAGATTGAAGAGAAGAACAGGCGTCTCATGGAAGAACTTCAGAAACAAATGGAAGAACTCAAAAGTAAACAACAGGAAGCCGCGCGATTGGACAGTTTGGAGATCGAAGAGATGCAACGGAGAATGCAACTTCTAGAATTGGAAGATAAACAGAAGGGGGAAGTGAGAAAACGCATGGAACGCGAAACTGCCCTCTTCAATGTGCGTCAATACAGATTAAAGCTGAAGCATAAGGCACAGCTTATTGACGAAAATCTTCAAAACGACAAAAGACTGATTGAAGAAATCAAACAGTCCCAGATCGCAGAGCGAATAGAGGATGAAAGGAAAAGACGTGAAATTATACAGGCCATGGACGAGCTACTTAAGTACACTCGGGAACAAATAGAACTCGAAAGAAAGAAACAACAATATTTAAGTTTCGTTTTCGACTCGGAAGCAAAAGATTTGTACGAAAAGCAAGAAGAGATTTGGAATGCTGAAGAGGCAGCACGTAAACAGTTGCTGGAAGATGTGCTGGCTTCTGTGAGAGCTCAAATTGATGAGAAAATTGAGCGCAACAGGGAACACAGGAAAAGGATACTAGAGGAAAAGGACGAAATTGAAGAATCGATACGTAGATTTGACGAGGAAATTAAACGTTTAAAAGAGGAGGAAGATCAAAAGACGAAGGAATGGAAAAAAGAAATGGACATGCAAATTAAACAGAAAACTCTGAAGCGAAAAGAGTTGAAACTTTTGGAACAAAAACGGATTCAAGACGAACTCGAAGCTACCAGAAAAGAGGAGGAACGATTGATGAGAGAAATTGCGGAAATTCAAAAGAGACCGTATAATAGTAGACGTTCCTGCAGAAGCAATATATTCCTGCGGTGAAGAATAGAAGCCGGAAAGGTAGGAACATTTAAATTAAATTTAAATAAATATATTATCTGATGTTTATTTAAANCAATTGTTTTGGTGGTATTTATTTTTTTAATATTTTTTTTGGTATGTACAAGTATATGGTAGCTTTAAATAAAATGAAAGCGGTATTGACGGAACAGTACCGTATGAAAATAAATAAAACATAAATACTGGTATGCAAGAGAAGAAAAAATTTAGGGAAAGAGCGAATGTTGAAGGTGTATGTTTGGAGTGCGGCGCTATACGGGTGCAGAACATGGACGGTAGACGCTGTAGAAAAGAAAAGGTTAGAAACGTTCGAAATGTGATGTTATCGGCGAATGATGAGGATACCGTGGACAGAGAAGTTTCGAAATGAAGGATATTAGAAGGATAGTTAGAGGACTCTATGGAAGTCAATAAGAAATAAGTGAGATAGGTTAATAGGACACCTTCTTAGGCATGAAGGTCTAGTCAGAGACATATTAGAGGCAGAAACAGGAGTTAAGAGGAATAGAGGTAGACCTAGATTAGATTAGTGTTCGCAAATAGTTAAGGATGTGGGTTGTTCTAGTTTCAGGGAAATGCGAAGATTAGCTCAGGATAGCAATGAGTGGAGGTGCGTGTCCAAACAGTCTTAGGACTGACGACCTTATGACGGTGATATTTATACACATTTAAGTAAATTGATATCGTTTGATCATTGATAGCACTATCATAAATTTCTTGATTAATACATCTGGTAATTTGTTTAATGTTTTGAAATTGTTCAAAATAAAATCTACACTTACATTTCTTAGTCGGTATGCGTATGTGTCTCGTCTTCGCATGTTTTAGACATTAATTTTACATGGTACCTACTAATGGTAGTTTACAACAATTGTTTTACACAGCCTTCCGAGATTAGAGATATGTACACATGTATATTGCTAGATGGTTGTTTTTCGAACCGAATGTTTCGTTCGCGTAGGCGTTTAAATTAAAACTGAAAATGATCTTGTTATAATCGGAGCGATAATGCTCGAACGGTGTTCTTATTAATAAATTCCCAATAAAGTAATGTTATATTGCGGACCTTGTTTTCTTACAGTTCGTTATAAAATTGAGGGTCTGCAGAGCAAAAAAACGACCCTGCTCGCTGTCAATGTTGAACGTTGCATTATTCAAAATACGTTCGATCTTAAAATTGAAACTGTTGACGTACTTTTTTGTGGTTCAATTGTATACAATTTTTTTTTGTTATTCCATTTTGTGTCTAATGATTGGTAGTTTATTTTTAAACTAAAATTAAATACGTCAATAGTAGTTTCTATTTAATAATTTGAGAATTATCATCCAGTCTGAATGTTGTACGTTCTATGCAAGTTATATTTTTACAGGTTTCCATGACATAAATACTTTAAATATTTGAATATTTGTTCTTGCCCTTTCCTTATAGTTTATACGAAAATACAATTTCCTTTTTTTATTCATCAAATGCAAAGAACACACCTGAAGATTGAACAAACTCTTGTCCAATATATCGCCATAACTCTCTCTTCCTTTCGATGACCGAAAACAAAAGAAAAATTGATTTCTCATACTAATCATACTGTGTACCATGCGTTTTGTGTGTGTGTGGGGGGGGGCATTTTTATGTAGCGAGCAAATCGTGTGTTACGTATGACCCCGAACTCAAGTTTAGGGTGTTCAAATGATGTAAAGTATATACCAGGGTGCGTTTAGGTCATTAGTGAAGGTACTTACTCGAGTTATTACGAATTGAGCAACTCATTATTAGTACAAATACCAAGTTTGTTCCGATCGAGGTGACCACTCCGAAAATCATTTAAAAAGTCGAAACATTAATACTGGAAGATGCCCGACTTAAGAAGAAATGGTAGGAGTATCAGATACAGCCATTTTTAAAATTCTTCACGATCATCTTGGCATGACTAAAGTCAGCGCAAGATGGGTGCCGAGAATCCGCCTCAAAAACAACAACGTGTGGAGTGTTCTCGCGCGTTTTTGGACCTCTGTAATGAAGATAAAGATGGAGTATTGACTGGAATTGTTACTGGGGACGAAACTTGTCCAAACAGGGCTTTATACAGTGGCTCAAAAAAGGCTCACCACCACCCAAAAAGGTTAAGTTGTCACAGTCGGCTGGGAAAATCATGGCGTCAGTCTTTTGGGGTACAGAAGGGATCCTGTTGATCGATTATAAAGGTAAAGGTGTCTCCATAGCCGGACAATACTATGCTTCAATCCTAGAGCGGTTAAAAGAAGAGGAAAATTGATCAAAGGTGTCCTCCTTCTGCACAAGAGCCATGTTGCGATGGCTGCCCTGCAGATGGGGGCTTCTAAAGTTGGGCTCACTCACCCTATAGTCCTGATCTAGCTCCCAGCGATTATTACCTATTATTATCTTCGTGGGAAGAAATTCTCAAGCGATAAGGAGTGAAGGATGCAGTTTCGGAGTATTTTTCAGACAAAAATAAATTCGTACTTTTATTTCCACTTCTTACCCCCCATTCCGCGGACTTAAAAACGTCTCCTCGTATTTCTATGTGGAAGATCAGGTGACAATGGTTATTCCAATTTTGAATTGTTTACATAACCATCATGTTTTGTTTTAAAAAATTGTTTTATGCATAAAAAACCGAACATCTGTGCACGACTGTTACTACAATAACATTATAACAACTAGTTTATTGAATAAGCAAGGTTGTTCGTTATGATTCATTTAAATGCATGCAGTGTGGCATAATTAATTTATTTTTTTATGGTGATATAAAAATTTACTACATTTAAGCGTTAACATCGTTATATATATATTATGCTTCAAAAACCGATTTTGCTACAGCAAATTAAAAACAATGATTTTTTACCTTTGTTTGCGTCATACACATGCGTACCATTTACAATTGCACGTAAAGGTTAATATCACAGCATATATTGCCATTTAGCGGTTTGCTTCTTTTTTTTTTTTTTAATCTCTAGCCTCTAAATTTCAACATTGCTAATGATTTTGGGTGTACTTTATTTAATTACAAGTTGCGGTAAATAACTTAGGCGATCTTTTTAAATACATATTTATGCATATTAACATTCGTCATACTGGAGCCACCGCGTCCAGTTGCTTCTTCATATCTTCCAATTTCTGCATATCACTGAGAGAGGTGTCGCACCTGTGAACAACCAGGGAATGATAGAAATGAATGGCAAAGAGGACGAACATGATAAGTACTGGAATAACTATGACGGTTGCTGCAATGGCTGCCTTAGAATGGTCCCAAAATTTAACCCAACACAGAATAGATATTTCTACCAGAAATAGGAAAAGTCCTGAAAAGAAATTGAGGGATTAACGTACGCAGATATACTTCATTTCGTTTCTGTAGCGATGTGACCTTCAGTTTGACCGGCGTGATGTAGTAGAGAACAGCACTAGGCCAGAAAAGAAAGGAGACAACTCTCGGCCAAACTCTTAACCGGTGAGGAGCGTATAACCCGTACAGTACTGCACGGAAAAATTGACCATTTTATCCGCTACAATTACATTGCTCAAATGTGCCGTTATTGGTACCAATTACTACCCAAAATATCAACGAGATGTTTATTTATATTCGAAGACATACTAAAGGCTTCAACGCTTGTTTTCGACTCGCACTACTATTCATGATTGAACAAAACTTTTGGCAGGTACTGTATGAAAAAGTATGTTTAATGAACAAGAGTCGAGAGTATAATGAGCTTTTTTCTCCCTACCTACGATTTTGCCAGCGCGCATCCAAGACATAGAAAGTAAATGAAGTATAGGATGTTTCTTACCTAGGACTGTAGAGAAAACCCACGCTAATTCAATGAACCCTTTCATTCTTTCGTGTGGACTTTCGGAAACGAGTTCGCAAATATCCAGTTTTGATATAGCATCGATGTTTGGCAGAATGTAGGTCGAAATCATAAGAGCAAAAATATGGACAGCTACTAATACTGTTGTACAAACGGAGAACATGACAAACAACCATTCGGGCACTTGAGTGTCTTCGTCGATTTGAAGTTCCACCTGGAATTTAGCAAATAAAAAATACGTAGGAGGGCATAATTTCATATCGTTTACCATTGCCACCATTGCGAATCCTGAAAGTAATTCGGAAGTGGTAGATGTGGCTTTTAGTTTGGCCCTCGACATGTGCAACCTCCGCCAGGATAAACCTTCAGGGGTGACGGCGGGACTCATTGAAATCTTTCCCTCGCTGTCGACTTCCTTGAAACATTTGCAACTTCTTACGCTACCTTCGGTGCTTATGTCGCTGCTTTGGCTGTGATAGGGTGGGGGGACCTGGAGAAAGCCTGGACGCCCTGCAGGCGACTAAAAACAAAACAAAATCAAATTGGTTCAGGTTTTAATTTGAGTTTCTTTTTCTTTTTTTTTTTTAACTCACTCTATATCCGTTGGTGTATGTTTTATGATGAGGGGTGGGGATTGGAATCGTTGTGCTTGAATGCGAAGACACTGGGGATGACGGTATTATATCAAGGTAGGGAACACTCAAGGTTATTTCGCTTCCATTCTGCGGTATTCTTGCCTGTGGGCTATCGGATCTGAAACTCGGCTTGCCTTTCTGAATTGTTTCAGTGGAAAAATTTAATGATTTCGATTGCTTCGTTAGTGGCCCCTAAAAGTACGGATAAATATTAATAATTAATTAATGAAGATTATAGTAATTTATTTAAAACAAATATACATACAAGCATGTACATGAAGCTGTGTTTTTTTTGAAGCATTTATTATACAGTCACTCACATCGACTGTTGTTTAGTACTAGGTACTCTACTGGTAGTTTTTCTTTTGATGTGAGTTTTTTTATTGCTGATGGTAATACGTCAATTTATTTACTTGTTATTAGAAACAGGTAATGGTACATATATATGTATACATATATTAAAGTACTCGCAGAATTAATTGCTAATGTTATGTAAAGTTGTAAATTTCATTGCTCGTTCTTAGAATAAAGAAGATTTGCGGGAAAATCAAATGAACATTTCTTTACCGTATATTTACGAGCTTAAGTGTTAATTTATCGTAATACAATTGAGTATAATAATAATTACGCAGTATTAATGTGAAAATTTCATTTTTAATTTCAATCCCAATACAAACTACCTGAAGTTAATGAGGAAAAAATTTGTTGCTGTTGTCACACCATCGCCGGGAATTGAACCCGGGACCTTTGGCTCTACGCACATTTCACATTAATATTTGATATTAACCCCTATTAAATGTCAAAGTGTTTCATGGTTATGGTATAATTACCCAGGTTTGAAAGTTGTGCCTGTTGGCCATCATGAGGTCGCCGGATGTGTTGTATCGCCTCAATCTTTTCCGGGGATATCTGGAAACCGTCGGAAAATCTACCTGAACCGATTGGTCCATGTTTAGCTGGAAATAAAAATAAAAATTGTTGTATTATTATGTCGTCAAGGAAATGCAACTGTATAATAAATAATAATTTATGCTTATTTCCATATAGCCTTCGTGAATACGTAATAAAGTCGAATTAAAAGTGGCCTCTAATGTTAGAAAACATGACATTTTCGATATCCACATTTTTATTTTTTCAAAAAATTACGCGACACAAGGTTATTACATTTTATTTTTGTTTGGGGTTGGCGAAAAATTGCAGCCAATTTACTTTGCGCAACCGTAATTGTATAATGATTTATTACAGCGTAGAAGACATTTTCTACTTTCACATTGTTTATTATTGTGATAGTACTACATACAACTGTTAACGTTTTTGTATAGAAACTTTCAAAATTAGGTACATACGTACTTGTTCTAAAAATTTAAAGACTTTTTTGATACAACTTCATTTTTTCATTAACTTTGATCGATTTCGTATTTCTCATGAATACTAAATCAATATTACTTTCTATGAAGATATATGTGAATATGTATATCATTTACTTGTTATAATATTTCCTTCAATTTAAAATACGAGCAAGAAGTATGTATTTTTTAATTCTACGTATTCGTCAGAAGGAAATTTTTCGTGATTATAACATCATGACTTTTTGCAATCATTATTTGGTTCACTTACTGTAACTAATTGCAGGTTGCTTTGGTTGTTACTTTTTAACTTGTGTACCTACAAGCACATAACTATTTTTTTTTTATGAATATTCATAATTACATTTGCTGCTACATTATGGTTACTTAGTTCGGTGCAGTATTAGGTATTAGCTCAGACATATTTAAAAATTCTTGTGTCTGTACTTTGACATATATCATATACGTATATTATTACAATAAGAACCATGTATATACCCCATTTTAGCAAAAATCACGCAGTTAATCCATGTGGTATCATTATATGGATATATTTTTTTTTCAACGACTTAGAATTAGTTTTAATTGAAATAATTGGTTATTTAGTTATTTTTTTATTAAATTGTTTTGACCTATAAAACCTTTCTTAGATACCTAAATATTTTTGAGAATGGTTTGATAGGTTGAGACAATTGTAAATTTCTGTTAAAGTCAAAGTGACCATTTAAAGGCAATTGTTTTGGTGGTATTTGTTTTTTTAATATTTTTTTTGGTATGTACAAGTATATGGTAGCTTTAAATAAAATGAAAGCGGTATTGACGGAACAGTACCGTATGAAAATAAATAAAACATAAATACTGGTATGCAAGAGAAGAAAAAATTTAGGGAAAGAGCGAATGTTGAAGGTGTATGTTTGGAGTGCGGCGCTATACGGGTGCAAAACATGGACGGTAGACGCTGTGGAAAAGAAAAGGTTAGAAACGTTCGAAATGTGATGTTATCGGCGAATGATGAGAATACCGTGGACAGAGAAGTTTCGAAATGAAGGATATTAGAAAGATAGTTAGAGGACTCTATGGAAGTCAATAAAAAATAAGTGAGATAGGTTAGTAGGACACCTTCTTAGGCATGAAGGTCTAGTCAGAGACATATTAGAGGCAGAAACAGGAGTTAAGAGGAATAGAGGTAGACCTAGATTAGATTACTGTTCGCAAATAGTTAAGGATGTGGGTTGTTCTAGTTTCAGGGAAATGCGAAGATTAGCTCAGGATAGCAATGAGTGGAGGTGCGTGTCCAAACAGTCTTAGGACTGACGACCTTATGACGGTGATATTTATACACATTTAAGTAAATTGATATCGTTTGATCATTGATAGCACTATCATAAATTTCTTGATTAATACATCTGGTAATTTGTTTAATGTTTTGAAATTGTTCAAAATAAAATCTACACTTACATTTCTTAGTCGGTATGCGTATGTGTCTCGTCTTCGCATGTTTTAGACATTAATTTTACATGGTACCTACTAATGGTAGTTTACAACAATTGTTTTACACAGCCTTCCGAGATTAGAGATATGTACACATGTATATTGCTAGATGGTTGTTTTTCGAACCGAATGTTTCGTTCGCGTAGGCGTTTAAATTAAAACTGAAAATGATCTTGTTATAATCGGAGCGATAATGCTCGAACGGTGTTCTTATTAATAAATTCCCAATAAAGTAATGTTATATTGCGGACCTTGTTTTCTTACAGTTCGTTATAAAATTGAGGGTCTGCAGAGCAAAAAAACGACCCTGCTCGCTGTCAATGTTGAACGTTGCATTATTCAAAATACGTTCGATCTTAAAATTGAAACTGTTGACGTACTTTTTTGTGGTTCAATTGTATACAATTTTTTTTTGTTATTCCATTTTGTGTCTAATGATTGGTAGTTTATTTTTAAACTAAAATTAAATACGTCAATAGTAGTTTCTATTTAATAATTTGAGAATTATCATCCAGTCTGAAGTTCGTTTTTGGTAAAAGGAAGAAAACTGCGTTGTTAAATGCCAAAACTAAGTGGTGTTAAAATAACATTAATTATGTAATTTATGATAGACTTTGACATACGTGCATAAAAAGTTGTTGTATGTGCAGGAATTTCCACCTTTCAGGAAAATCCACACATTTTCGTTATAGATGCATATTTTCTAGCAGCTACCAAAGTTCAAGATTCGTAAGATTATAATAATAGACAAAGTTCAATGTCTTTTCTTTTCCACTGCCTGGTATTCGGAACTGAATATTGTAATAATATGTAAATTATTTATCTCAAAGTCCGTGTGTGTATGTTAAAACATAAGCGTAGGTTTTTACCGACGAAATTTATCGTATCGATTAAAATTCAGAAAGATTTTTGATGCTTTAAAATAGGCCAATGTTCATTTTTCGATAGCGGTAGGTACGTATTTTTGTTGTAAAAAGGTTACATTGTAAAATAATTCAATTACAATATCGGCATCGGTATTACTGTCAAGGCTAATACTATTTTGCGTCTGAAATTTTTGCCGAATCATGCAAGAACTACAACTAAATGGTATATTACCTACGATGATCGTATTTGTTTATGATCGTAATTTTTTTTTAATTTTTGCCTGAGGGTTCAACTGCGATCTGTTTATTGATGCGCGTCTTAACAATCGGATTCCAGTTAATAATTTTGCTGGGAATTTCAATGGGAAGAGTTGATCAAAGAGGCGACCGTGTCGAATTTTAGTAAGGTTTTTCAGTATTGTCTTTTGTGCTGGTGCTCTCTAAATTTAATGGTTATTGTGTGCTACTACGAACATGTATGTGTTCTACATAAGCAGTACTATTATAATGTATTTAAATAGCCATCATTACCATTTTTACATATGTGTGTTATGTTAGGTATATACTTAATGGACAAAGCATGTACATATAATTAAAAAATTAAGTGTTTAGTGTAGAGAATTTTTGCACTTTAGAAGTTTGTTGGTAAATAGGATTCTTACTAACTGCGAGTTTTACGTAAATTGTTATAAAAGCTACAATTATCGCTAGTTTTTCACTGTTGTTTTAGTAAATCCCGTGCACCCAAATCTTTGTTTTAATGGTTTCAGAAATATAGCAAGGGCATAAGAACTTTTCCAGTAGTTTCTCTGGAGATATGTTCTTGTGATTCCATACCGTTTGAATAGGGTGTCTCTAAGCGTCTTGTGGGGCTCGGTATCGGAAAATGAACAACTTGAAATAGAAAATTGACACTTTGGGTACCTTCACTAAATCTCGTCTCTTCGGACACGTGTTTCTTGAGACTTGCGTTGATAAGACCCTTAATAAAAGTAAGCGAAAAACCTGTCCGCAGTGTACAGGTTTAGTGGTAGAGGTAATTTAGAATCTCGTGGGCCACGATCTTCGGCTGTGTAGTATCAAAACTCCGCCTGCTCATTGATTTGTACTTCTCGCTAACTAAAAGCATGAGCGTCGTTTCGTCATTTTTTGCGTGGTTAACAGTCGAGTCCATGGTTTTTAAGTATGTATATATATGAAAACAAAACCTCTAACTAGGGCGAGTCTTTTTAGTTTATATTTTTGAACTCGATATTATGGTATTCACTACAACAATTTCAACTTCTTCCTATATACTTCTTGTTTGATTAAGAAATACGTAATTAAATTTTGCAAATTCAAAAGTCATATTAAATCCAATTTGTAGTGTTTGTAAATATCAAAATGGTATTTAAAAGTCAGTTATTGTTGTATTGCACGGTTTGAAATGTATAACTATATACAAAGTAATTAACAATCACATTTAGAGGCTTTGTTTTCTTTATTTTAAAACTGTGAGGTATACTTATTAAAATATTTCACCGGTTTTATCTCTCCAATGATAAGCAGTCAAGAAACGTACCTCAACGTTTACGTTCACTTAATGGTGTTTATGATTTTTATTTGACCCATTAAAAATTATTATCATCTCTTTGTTCTGTATTAAGCATTGTAAAATTATTTTTTCTTTATTTGATTTTATTATTATTTTGGTCGTACCTTGTGGGCTAATTACTAGCGTGTATTCCAATTAGCTGCTTTGTTGCAGGAAAATGGAGAATACGGTAAACCTCGACTAATTAAATTAAGTAAATATTTTAACGAAAACGCACAACTGGTAGCAGGGGTCTGTCCTAAATGTTACGCCGAATGTTCAGAGGTCAAAATAACAGCAGTGAACAGGAAATTTTTGAAAATAACTAATCAGCATCGTCTCTTAGAAAATGTATTAGCCAAGTTCACAAAAGAAGCGGGATATTCAAAAAGGGATTCGGCCCCATTTAATGAAAATCCAAAAGGAGGCTATAAAATAGATTTACTAGATTCATTTGAAAAGAATAATAAGAGAAAATCTAGTTTTGGGGGTGCAGGTAAAGAAATAGAAGTAAAACATTCGTATCCTATAAGTGTAATCCTTAACCAAGAAAACTGCGAGGGTATGGTGGTACATGTTAATAATAACAATAATTTAAATTTAAAAGAAAATCACATGTTTGATTCAGATGATCTAAAAGTTAAGCAAGCAAAGCTACTGAAACAAAAGGATTTTCATGATGGTTTGGATCATAATGTAGACTCCTCTACTAAAATCGGAACATCTAAATATTTCTTAAGAAATTACAATGGCAAATTAGATACTATCAAAGATATGGAAGAAGTGGTTAGTGTTAGTAATAGGCAAAAATTAATCAAATTTCACAATATTCGTACTGGGAAGCAACCTTCAGAAGCTACATCCAAGGATTCGGTTGCAATGAGTAAAAGATCCACTTATTTTTTTCTAAAACATAACGTCGATAAAATGCAAACGAAACCATTAAAACATAAAGCAACTACTTATAATGAAATAGTGACATCATCGGATTCTCCGCTCTTATTAAACAAAGAAGAAACATCCATCGTAGTAAAAAGTAGTTCAAAATTATCTGTTAAAGATCAGGATATTCGTCTGTCTCAATATGTTTCAAGAGCTTTGACAGATGAGGAAATAATGATCCCTGCAAGTTGTTCCTTTTGTCAAGAAAAATTGTTACAAAAATCGCCTCAGTCGTCCACCACATCTTTAGATAGTTATGATGTTCGTCACGAGGAGAACTGTAAGAGTTACGAGCCAAAAAAGATGTTGTGGATGCCTCCAAAATCCCCTCATAATCTCATTGAGGAATCGTTGTCCCATGATCCATGGGCCCTCCTGGTTGCTACCATATTCCTGAATAAAACCTCCTGTATGGTAGCCAGACAGTATGTGGAAGAGTTCCTTCAGGACAATCCTAACCCGCAAACAGTTTTAAAAAAGGATTCCTCAGAACTGGTTAAATATTTCGTAAATTTGGGTCTTCATCAGAGACGTGCCGAGCAAGTTTGGAGAATGACTCACGATTTTCTTCACAAAAAGTGGAACAAGGTTGGAGAATTGTACGGAATCGGTCAATATGGAGAAGATGCATATCGGATGTTCTGTTTAGGCGATATGAACTTTAGGCCTTGTGACAGGTTTTTGAGAATTTATCGGGCCTGGTACAAGATGAATTTTAGCCAGCGTGATGGGAGTTTTTTTAAACTGAGTCAGAATGAAGACGTCAGTTCGTCGGAAAATTCCGACTAAATGAAGTCAATTGGAGATTATATTTGAGAGGTTAATCACTAAGAAGGACAATAAAACTGCTGCAACAAAATGAATGCATTAAAAAGAACAAAAAAGTGTTAATGAATCGATTAAGAGAAACGAAAATTAGATGGTACTTGACCAGAACAAACGCCGGAAAAATAAAAATGGGTAAGAAAACATTCATGTACAGCGTATTTTTATTGGGAATTATTATTAAAAAATATTAAATTCTTTGTCGGATTTAGCAAAACTACAAAATGAGGATCATGAATTAGTAAAATTGGTAATTTTGGTAATGTTGAACCATTTTGGCTACTATAAAGTGTTTAGCATCCACTGATATTCACTGCTAACTATGTCATTTCGTATTTAGATAGGGTCACTTCACTTCCCAATGCTTCACTACTTAATTTACACGTTCCCTAAGTAGGGGCTGTTTTGTACAGAATGTAGGGCTACAGTAGAAATATATTCTGAATCTATATACTTTGGTAAAACCATTGAACCGTTTTTTTATATAGCAGTTCTGCGCATATAAAGTTGATTTATAACCACCTACAAAAAACGCCGGCATTTTAGGTTAGATCAAAAGAGTGACTTTACTGTATAGAATATCTTTATGCTGTGGTTTTATGAAGATATTTATTTGCCAAACTGAATCTGCAATAGAACTTCTACATTTGGTAGGACCTCAAACGAACTATTAAAGAGCATTTCGTTCTTGTTAGACGATATAGATAGATTCTGTGGCAAGGCATAGTGAGTATTTAGGCCACTGTTTAGCATTCGGGAGGATATCGATTCAATTCCAGGTCCGTCTGCCCTTATATCCAGTAATAATCTTTCACGTCTCTTCTGTCTCCATTTTTTACATCTTATCTCCTCAACCATCATCCACGTATTTTCACGATCCATGTATAAGTAGGCTATAGATAGTCTTCCGCCTTATCCTCAAGTTTCAACTGTACTATTCCGGGTTTCCACCATAGTATATGTCAGAAAGATTCCACGCCCACCGGCTTTAACCAGTGGTTTTTTTAGTCATTAGTTTTTTAGTTTGGCAGATAAATATCTTCGTGATATTCTTGTCAAACACTACGAAATACTACAGAGAATATCAGTTGATGGGAATGAATATTTTTAATTGGGATTGATTTGCCAACATCTTATTGTACCTTTCCTCAATCGAATATTAACTCACAATGATCCAATGTATATTAGTAACTACCTATAATAAATAACATATCTCACCTATAGTAAGCACTCTCACCACTTTAAAAATCTATCACTTGCGTATAATGCGCAGCGGTTAATGAGAATAAAACAAAAAATTAACTATCTATATAACGAAAAGTGTGGCGGTTATTGGCGTATGAACGCTTTATAATTTTTGGTCGGTTAGAAAACATATTGCATATTAATGACCAACAGACGTAAGGATTAATAAGCGCGGTTATAGTCGACATCATGCGTGAAAAATACTGATTACCGACCTGTAAAAATCCTTGAAGCGCATGAGCCTATCGAATGTTATTACATATTTCGTCTAAATTTGATAATGACGTAGAAATTGGTAGGTAATAGAAGATACACAAAATAAATACAGGGTGTTCATATATTACAAACCCTTGTTGCTGTGAGGGAATAAACAAAATGAGACAAAACTAGGGTTAAAAATTCTGAAATATACGAAATATCACATGATACGAAGAAAATGCTATTCTCTTAAATATTTTCTACAATTTTCTTGAATACATGAAGCAAGTAGTAAACAAACTATACATACTTTCAAGGCTATGAACTTAGTTTTCTTATTAACGTAACCTTCGCTGGAAATTCTTCACCTTTCCAATCACAAAGCGATTAGTTAATCGTGAAGCACGAAAAAAACTTGACTAAGAATCGTCTTCGATGACCAGGTAAATACTTAACGTCATTAAAAGCTTATTAATTGTTTTATAATAGACAACAAATACACGTTATGTGTAGGAGTACTAATGTACAATGCGAAATTTGATTTTTCCTAGAATTTTATTCGTACGTCGACATATCTAATTGTAAACTTTATTTTACCAACAATAAGTGTTTTTTTTTTAAGTATTTGTTGAAGTTCTTTGCCAGTAACTTATCGGAACTATCGGACGCGGATCGAAATTTTGAACCTATTTGATCTCATCAATATGTCCTAGGCAGTCTCAATAAATAATCATCGACCAAACCGAAGATGTATTGTATATATATGTATAATATCCAGTTGCTTCTAATCTATAGAGTTGTTCGGAAAGTCATTTCGTTTTTTTTTGTGGAAATGAAAGACAGTTTTCGTATAATAAACAAATACTTTATTAAATTATATATTGACCGTTCTGGTCCAACACCTTTTGCCATCTTTGTGGTAGTAGCATAATTCCACGCTCATCAAATTTTTGGTCTTTGCTGGCAAAAAACTTATCGAGGAGGTTTTTGACCTCCTCATTTGAGGTAAAAGTTTTACCGTCTAAAAAATTTTGGAGTGACCGGAACAAATAATAATCCGATGGTGCCAGGTCTGGAGAATATGGTGGGTGTAGCATTGTATCCCATTCAAGCTGTACAAGCTTTTGGCGAGTGACCAAACTTGTGTGAGGTCTCGCGTTGTCTTGGTGAAACATTACACCTTTCCTGTTGATTAGTTCTGACCTTTTCTGTTGAAGTGCATCATTCAGTTGTCCAGCTGATGACAGTAGACTTCCGAATTAATCGTTGTGTTATCCGGTAAAAGCTCAAAAAAAAACGATTCCTTTAAAATCCTACCAAACAGACAACCTTTTTTTGGTGAATATCGGCTTTGGAAATGGTTTTATATACATATAGACTACATAGTTTTATTTGTTTTACATTCAATGTGAGAATAGGGTTAATATTTGGGGTTTAACTTGTAAACATGAATTCAGTTTTAGTATTAACAGCGAGTCCTACTTTTTCACACTCTTGGTTCACTTTCTAATAGGGTTTGAAGATCTTCTGCGCTCTCAGCCATTATGGCAGTATCATCGGAAAATCATACGTTATTGATTAATGTTCTTCCAATGTTTATTTTCTCATACCTCTCTTCCAACGTTTTCCGAAATATAAACTAAGAATGCAATTTAAATAGTCGTGGGGATATAAAACAAACATACTCTTTTAATCATTTTTTACGAATGTCCATTTGCGATTTGATTTTGTTAAAAGCTACTCGATCCCGAGCTACTTTTTTATTATTCTTGAAAATAGTATTAGTGACGTAAGAGAAAATTGTGATCGTCTGTCACTGTCACAGAATTTGTTTAGGACCACTCAAAAGTTATCAAAATTCTAGTATTTTATCAATTAAAACGTAACAAAGGAAAAAAAAACAAAGCATAAACAATGGATTCGGAAGGCGGCGTTAAGTTAGAGGATTTAAAGAGTCGGTGCGATGAAATGAAAAATGCTATCGAAGCAACGGTGAGCCAGTTCGGAGATATGGAGGGTAAGAGCCAGTGTGAGAAAGGTTTGTACTCGGCCGCGCTGGCAACCATGAACTGGCTCGTTATCTTCTCTAATACGCTCATGATGACAATGAAAACTTCGAACGAAGGCTTGCAGACAGCCAGGTACAATCGTTTTACCAGTGTGGTAATGTTAACAGAATACGGAATTAAATTTTGAATTTATTTACGATGACAGTCGGTTAATCAGGGACACTGGACTTATTTAGGAGGTTTAACGATTGATTAACCAACAACTGTCACCTTGTAGCCTAAAATTCCAGAACCGTCAGACATAGTAGTTATTTTATGAGTAACATAAAGGGTGGGGTGGGGTAGTAGTAGTATGTACTTTGAACTTACGAATACCTGAGTGGGGTCGACGCCCATACTACAGATATCAGGTGCTAAAGGTACGTAAAAACATTACTCGCTTTTCATAAAGTTTGAGTGCTATTTTCTAGGTAATATATCACAGAATATTCTTCAAAATTAGTAACCAACACTGCCAAATACTTCCCATTGGTGGTAATTTCTGCCAGACGTTTCATACTTTGCAAATTTACTTATAGTCTGAGATGTCTCTTTTAAATATGATACTAGGGACTTATTTCAATACTTTTTGTAAGTAGCCAGATCAACTGTAGGGGCCAAACATCCCCAAGCAATTAAAATGCCGCTGTGGTATAAACGCAAGTGCGATATTTAGATAGTTTTATATCACTGCCATATTTTAATTATGCCTGGGGGATGTTTGGCCCCTATAATTGGTCTGACTGCTTGCAAAAGTTTTGCAATAATTCCCTAAGTGTCGTATTTAAAAATGAGGACTCAGACTATAAGTCTATAAGTAAAATTACGACTTTTTGCGAAGTTTAATGCGTCTGGCAGAAATTACCGCCTGTGGGAAGTTTTGGGCAGTGTTGATTATTAATTTTTAACAACAATATTATGTAAAAATCAGCACTCAGACCTGATATCTGCAAATTGGGTGTCGGCCCAATTTAGCAGGTATGCATACGTTCAAAGTAGTACATGTTAACACTACTGTATCGCATCCATTTTGTTACTCAGAAAATAAGTAATGTCTGGGGAAGTTGCTTAGTGAGGGGTGGGGCAAAAGGGGCCATGAGCTCCGGGCGGCGCAAATGTAGGGGCTACAAAAATAATTTTTCGGTATCAGATAGAACGTCTTGCAGTAATGTTAGATGTCCCAAATTTCGTAAAAATTCCAAGATTTTTGTGTTGTTAAAAATACAGTGTAAACTCTTTATAACGTCACTCGATTTAACGATAAACTCCTTAAAACGCCGAAATTGCTTGACTTTGGTTGGTTTACATTGTTTTCTATACAATATTACACTCTATACAGCGTCACGCTCACTCTATTTAACGACAACAATGCGGCATTATAAATCATTGAGCAGTACTTTCTAAGTTGCCGAAATAGATAAGAACTGCAGCTGTGTACGTTGTTGAAGAAGACG